CAAACTCTGTGATCTTGCATCTGATGGGGACTCTGTGACATCTGTGTCTTGGTCTGAAAGGGTAAAGTGTAAAGTCAACTTTGATTTTTATCAAATCACGTTGTATGTTGTGCTACCAATTTTCAACCTCTGGGATTTTTTTCTCTTTGTACATAGTAACTATCAATGTTAAAAAGAAAATCAAGGAAGATGGAATAAAGAATCTTGATGCCAGACTTACTCAACCAAAACTTAAAAATTTATACATGACTGAGTGGTGATTTTGTTTGTTTATGAGCTTGTTTGTTTATTTGCAGAGTGGTCTGGTGGCTGTTGGGACTCACAAGGGTCTTGTTCAAATCTGGGATGCAGGTGCACAAAAGAGAGTGTCTACTATTGAAGGACATACTGCTCGAGTTGGTAAGCAGGCCAAATTTACAGTCGGCACTATTTTTATTGCTTGACACAGTACTAGTTTTCTTTTGTGTAGTTAGGTCAAAAAAGATCTCTTGCATGCTGCTCAAAACCAATTGAGGCAAATGAGGATATCACTGTACAGCAGGAATATTCTTAGTCTTCACAAATGAATGCTTTGAAGTGTTGCAAACAAATTGTGACTAGTAAACTAAGAATTAATTTTAGAGATTTAACCTTTCAACTCCCATGAGTAACCAATACAGAATTCCTCCTTACAATATTGAAATAATATTAAGCAGACAAATGATGAGAATGCAGAAAAATGTCAAATAGCAGATTATTAGTTGATCCTATACCAAATTCTCAGAACTAACATCATAAAAATGTTATAGCTGAAAGTGGAGCGAATTACTAATGGAATGTTGTTGCAAAACAGTTAAATTATGACCATTGTGATCCATAATTTTTTCATAAGATTAATACAAGTGAAGCAGTGGAAAAGATTAAAATCTGTCAAGTTTTTCCTACTTCTGTTGATGTAATGTACTAATTGCTGAATACATAGTTTCATACTAGACAATGTTTCCTATCAAATGTTGTACCATATCTTAGGTGCTCTGGCATGGAATGGTGATGTGCTCTCATCAGGGAGTAGGGACAGACTGATTCTACAGCGTGATGCTAGAACACCCAATGCTGTGGAGAGAAGATTGATTGGACACAGGCAAGA